TGTAAAAGGAAAAGAAAATACCGATACGGAATTTTATTTTTCCTTAAAAAAAAAAGGACTGTACTGCGTTGTTAAACTAGTAAAAAAAAAAAATCCTTAACCAATCAACACCAGCCTATGGATCCTCTCCAGAGGTTAAGTGAATTTAATAAACAAAACATTACTACAAAAAAAAAAACAAAAAAAAAAACAAAAAAAAAACAAAAAAAACGAGAGGGACAGAAAATAATGGGAAAGAAAAAAAGTTATTGTAGGAACCATTTTACCCCTTGAAGCTTGCATAAGCTGTATCACTGTGCACCACTGTTCACTTTTACTCCAGCGCCGAGCCAATTCAGCATCTTTGTTTCTGATGGCCATACACAGATCTCCTAAGTGATCCTGCCACAACACAAATAATCAACAAAAGTGAGACATGAAAACCTCAACGTGCATTAAGTGCGAGAAGAAGTAATTGAATCCAGCCTGGCCGATTTTTCCCTTTGTTGTGCAAGCTACAGATTGATTCAGGCTTTTTTACCCTTGAACCTCTGAGAGTGACTGGCATCTAATTTCTCCTTACCATATCACGCCTGAATCAAACATTAAGGTCAGGAGAATGAAGGAGCTGATCACCAACTTAAGAAGCTCCTGATTGTTGGACAAATTCTCCATGTTGGCATCTTAGGAAATGTTTAGAGAACAGTATGGAGAATATGCATACTGATGTTAGGGTGTAAAGGGTTCAGCTGCATTGTGAGTGGTCAGAATCCTCTGATCAAGTTTACAGCCACATCCTCCTCATGCTTAGAGCTTGTCACTTTGGTCATCACGCCAGTTCATACTGGCTTATCATGTTGCCTCTGTATATTCCACTTGCCTTTTACAGTTGCTATGGTTCTAAGCCCAGTTGTTCAAAGGCCAATTAGCACTAACCCAAGGTTAAATTGCAATCTGGATTTCTTTATTCCTTAGTTCAAAAGCCTTTTGGAATAATTTTCTGTGTTCTTTGTACAGCATCAAATAATAATATTCTAGAAAAAAAGAAATTCAACAAAATTTTCTTTTAAAGCTTTCAGATCTGATATCCAATTTCTGATTTCATACTAACAACCCAGCCCTGGGTTTTTTTTAAGACAATTAAAAGCCTTTCTTTGCTGTTCATCAATTTGGCGCCGAAACCAGATTTTGGTTGCAAAGTGTCGCTTTGCAATTTATTAGCTGTGATCTCATCACAGGCTCGAAGTCAACACATGAACATTACCTCTAAAGGAAGCATGTCGGAAGTTGTCAGAAAAACTAGGAGGTGACAACTAGACATAGCAGTTAGGAATTCACCAGGAGGGAACTGGTTTAAGTATCTCACTAAAGGGTGAAAATCCTGCACACAAGGGAAAAGAAAAAAACACAGAATTACGCAAATTGCACCAAAGTAAAGGGCTACAAAGAATTTTTACCTTATATAACAAACAACAGTAGAAAAATACCTTTATTATGAAACTACTCACAGAGGCTTTAAGGTGAAACTCATAGACAGGCTAAACAGACTGCAGAGATCTTATATGTGGCAGTAGACCACCAATGACTGGCTTTGATGGAAACCTCTCCATATCTCCTCACCCATCAGCACTTAACAGTTAAAATATCAGACCATATTCTCTGGGTTTTCATAACTTTAATCACATGCAGGATACCTTTGCAGTATCAAAACTGCTTTTAATGTTTTTCCTTGACCTTCTCTAGTGGAAAGGTTCTCCCTGACTTTGGTTGGAGAAAGTAACCTGAGGTTCTAAAGGAAAAGCAGTCAGCACCAAGAGGAAAAACAAAACACAGATTAAAAAAGAAAAAGAAGATTAAACATACCAACAAAGATAAACAACAAAATAGAACAAACACACAAACAAAGAGATCTAAACTATGAAACTAACAAAAAAAATGTCATATTATGTTTCCTTACATGTTTAAGTGCTTTTTAAGTAACTCATGTTATTCATTCAATAGTATGCCAAATAGATGAAAACAGTTCAGAAACAAAAGTATACAAAAAAGTAAAATGTACCTACCTGAACTAACAGATATTCTATAGGCATTGGGCAAGCCAAAGAGTCACTTCATTACTGTACAAGTCAGTAGTCTGGAAATAGAACACAAATAAATAAACAAACAGAAAAAATAAACTGTCTTCAACTAAGTTTCGTTGCAATGGAGTTCATGCTTGGTACCGACCTTATAGAAAACATCCGAGACATAATGATCACTTGAAGATTTCGGCATGTAGCCAAGACCTGGTTCATCTATGGTAGGTACCAGGCAGTTGTCACCAACTAATGCCATACACTGATTGGACACCTGAAGGGAGGACAGGGTGAAACATATATCGAGGCCTGGTGGGGCCTGGTGCATGCTTTAGTGAAAAACATAAAAGAAAGGCGCACATGGGCCATAGGTGAAGGTGCAAACAAAGACCAGTAAATGGTGCATGGTCCAGTGTATGGCCCTCGGCAGGAGGCAGAATGGAAGAAGAGAGGTAAAAAGAGAAAGAAAGGATGGTCAAATGATAAAATGGTTCAATTATTCAAAAATTATTCTGGCTACGAACTGCTGTCAAGTTTTTTTAACTTATCTCAGAATGCTGTCATATTTTTCCAGTTGTCCATGATTTTTATAAAACTGCTGTAGGTATGACACGATTCTCTTACAAATAATTGTGACAAAATCCAATCACATGGACTGCTTGGAGGCAAAAACTGTTCCCAGTTTGTTAAATCAGCACAAAATAATAAGCATGACTTGCATTTTTGGGGGCTGTCCTGATGTACCGGTACACGGGGGAATTCCTATTGTTTTCATATCCATACATGGAGTCTTGACGTAGTTCGTTAATGTTTCATTCCTTTGTGTACTGGTACAAGAGGACACAACCCATTTTTTCATTGACAACTACAGGTATAACTGTTCATTGTTAACTCCCGTGTATTTCCTAACAAAGATTTCTCAGCAAACAGTGCTAGATGAGCACTTTAAACTTTGGCTTGGTTGCAAGTTTAGAACATGGTTTGTCTCAGTCTCTTCATTCGTAGATAGTTTCACTTGAAGAGATTCAATGAATTTAAAAAGGAAGTGTTATCAGTCAAAACTCTTCAACTCTTTCAAGCTCTGACAATGTCAACTTCTTCTACCTCATTACCAGTGCATATCCAAAACTTCTTTTTCACTTTTTACATTTTCTCTTGAAAAGGCCACTTCATCCTCAAGTAAACTGAGGGATTAGCCCTTCAACTCCCATGAGTGACCAAGACGGAATTTCTCCTTACAATATCAATACAATTATCAGCCAGATAAGTGACAAGAATAAAGAAAATTATGAATTTGGGGATAATTAGTTGATCCAATGCTAAATTCTCTGAACTAACATTATAACGAGAATTATAATTTGATCTGGGAGTGAAAGGGTTTGTAAAATCAGATCTTAACTGAATGGATGAAAACATGTAATTTACTACAATGTATTTGTAGCTCTTCAACAATTAACTCCATCAAAACATGCTCAAACCAAAAGCGATATGAATTTAAGCTGAATCGGACATCTTTTAAATAGACTTCTATCATAAATTGAGACCCTCTATAAAATACAAATCTGTTTTCCCAAAGGCAATGTACTGTTTTTGCCATTGTTTTCTCTATCCAAGAACTGAATGCATGATGTAGTATGAGAATGTGCGTAAATTCTACCGGGTCAACTCCGATCAAGCAGTATTCATTCAGTTCTTCTAACAAATTACTGATTCCTTCGGTTGACACAAGTTTTGAAAATATAATAACAAGAAGAACCCACCTCACACTCCAAGTTAACTTATTTTATCACTCAATATGAACCCAGACATCAATGCCCTCCTAACGTACAGGTTAGCTTTAGTGCTCAGGGCAATACTGGCCGCTGACATCTCCCTCATTATTTGGTATGGAAACATGGCAATGACTGTCGAGTCCATCGAGTCCATGTTGACCGATTTAGCGCACTGTTCCCGGAAGCAGTTAAAAATATTGAGCCCACGCAGCTCTATTTCAGATATAGGGTGGTTACCAAGCGCTAAACACCGCTCGAGCTTAGGTGGGCTACACACCGACTAGGACCCGTAGGACAGAAATTTAAGGACTGTTTGGAACAGGTCAAACCTTCAGATAAGTCTTTCGTACCCGGAGTTATCTATTTGACTGTTTTGATTTTTCACACGAAGTGTTCATGTTAGTTGTCGTAGCTATGAGATCGTTGTTCGTTTCCCAGGGAATCGTTCATGTACCTACTCCACTTTTGTAATGTGTGATGTAGCAAAGCTTAATTTCGTCTGACTTTGGTGTATAAATCAAACTTAATGGAAATAAAAGTCTACTTCATAACATGCTCCCGCGTGCCACTAATTTCTTGCGCGAATTATGCATGATGGAACACGACGTGAGGTGAATGTATATAATGTACAGTGACAAGATGACTAAAAAGAAACTTAAACGTCTCATGTTACTCCTACAATCTGCATATATAGTTCAGATTTACGTTCTTTAAGGTAAACCGAGCTGTAAATTACTACAAACTCATATGTGCATGGACATAGGAGTACCAAAACTAAAAGAACTTTGGGCTAGCTGTGTAGAATTTCTTTAAGTGTGACACAAATTAATTTTATACATCTCAGTCTGACACTTTATTCCGTTTAGTTAGGAAAGAGTGATTCTTAAAGTATTCTCTTTGACGAAACGAGGGTTCCAAATGCAATCAAATAAAATCCACCTCTCCTCCCTCATCCATGGACAAGTACAGAGTCACATCATTGGGCATTATATATTATTGTTGGTGAACTTAAATTACTCTCATCTATATAACCTTGCAAATTTACACTGCAGTTATTTCCCTCCTCTCTCCCTCACCCACCTTGATTAAGGGTCTCCCTGAAAAAAACATCCTCTGTCATATCCTGAATTTAAAATTAAGTTCCTTGGACACCTACTAGAGGATAACCATTTAAAAAACTGGGCCAATATGGGGGATTGGGCTTGTAATTGTTGACTCTATTAAATTTTGCTTTCAATTTAATCCTTCTTCAGCTATCAATAGA